CTGGGCCTGGGACCCCCGGGCGGGGCGGGGCGAAGGGCCGCCGACTTCCCGACTCCACTGCCAGGCTGGGCCCGGCGGGCAGTCCGGCGAGCGGGGCGCGGGGCCGCCTCACGGGGCGCGGGCGCGGGTGGCCCGGCGCCCTGTGGAGCCCTGGCGCTCCGGAGCGCGATAGGAGATCGATAGCAGCTCCCGCGGCACCATGACTCGGGCAGCCGAGGCCCCGCCAGCCGGCCGGGAAGCGGTCCGAGGTGGCCCGGCGGGCGGCGCGGCGGCAGGTGCTGGGGTGCAGTAGCGGATAGGGCGGGCGCGCGGCCAGGCGACTCCTGGGCCCCCGGCCCTCGAGCTCCAACTCCAGCCCGGGCCCAAGCAAGTTGCGCCGGCGGCGGAGAGCCGGGCTGCAGGGCCACCGGCCCGCCATGCCGGCGGTCAAGAAGGAGCTCCCAGGCCGCGAGGACCTGGCCCTGGCTCTGGCCGCCTTCCGTCCGACCCTGGCCGCACTACCACTGCCGCCGCTCCCAGGCTACCTGACACCACTGCCAGCTTCGGCCGCCCTGCCCCCGGCCGCCTCGCTACCCGCCGCGACCGCCGGCTACGAGGCGCTGTTGGCTCCGTCACTCCGCTCGCCGCGCGCCTACCTGAGCCTACACGAGGCCGCCCCGTACCTCCACCTGCCCCGGGACCCCCTGGCCCTCGAGCGCTTCTCTGCCACTGCGGCCGCAGCACCGGACTTCCAGCCGCTGCTCGACAACGGCGAGCCGTGCATCGAGGTGGAGTGCGGCGCCAACCGCGCGCTACTTTACGTGCGCAAACTCTGCCAGGGCAGCAAAGGTCCGTCCATCCGCCACCGCGGAGAGTGGCTCACACCCAACGAGTTCCAGTTCGTCAGCGGCCGGGAGACGGCCAAGGACTGGAAGCGCAGCATCCGCCACAAAGGTGCGGCCGCCACCGTCCCTCCTCTACGCTCCCCGAGGACCCCTGGGTCGGGACCCCCTCATTCTGCCACCTGGGAGACTCCGTCTCCGCCCAGAGAGGGCGCTGCGGCTCCGGGGCTGCAGCAGAGACACTCCCCCGCCAGCCCTCCCAACCCCCCTCCCGCCCTCCCCCCACCTCCGCAGCACGGTCGCCTTGGTGGACCGAGGCAGAGCTCCCTCGGCCTCCGCCGTCACCCCAGCTTGGGCCGCGGTGCTCTGGGCTCCCAACTGCACGCAAGCCGGCCCCTCCTCCCACTCGGAAGGTCTTTGCGGGATTCCTGGCTCAGGCATTGTGGCTCAGGGGAAGTTTACGGGAACTCGGGAAATTGCGGGAGACCGGCTGGGCGGGACACACTTCCCTCCCTGGTCGGTGAGCCCCCGGGATCCGGCGGGAGTCGAGGGACACACATGCGGCCGGGCTGCGGGTGGGACTCCGTGGAGGGAAGGGGAAGGTGTTGTGGGTGGCGCAGGCAGGTGGGGGGCGCGGGGGCGCGCGTCGGGGCGGGGGCGCGCGCGGAGCTGGAAAGGCAGCGGGGCTGGTAGCAGCCTGCTTGGAGAATTTAGGAGTCTGGCTCCGAGGGCGCGAGGTGCGGGCGCCTGAGCAGGCAAGCAGGGGAGGCGCGGCGAGCGCCAGGAGCGGGGGTCGGGGGTCGTTAGAAAGTTAGGGACCCGGTCGGGCTGGGCTTTGGGGTTCGCGGCTCAGCTGTGGCTGCCCTCTTCCCGCTGCGGGGTCACGCGCAGTCCCGGGTCCTGGCGGCGCCGTTCACCTGCGCGCTGGATCGACCTTCCTGGGCCCGGTTCCCAGTCCCCGCAGACAGGCTTGGAGAGGGTTAGAGCGCGGGAGGGGGGACGCAGGGGGCGGGGAGGAGGCGGCTTTTGGTCAGGGGAGGGCGCTCGCCGGGAACTAGAGTTTCTGAGCTCTGCAGATCCCCGTGGCTTCCGCGAGGGTGGGGTGGGCGGCAGGGCCTGGGGGTGGGTTCGGAAGTTGGACTGAGGTGGTTGTTCACACACGTGCCGGGAGGGGGAGCGGGCCTTGCAGTTTACTGCGCCCCGAAAGCGTTCCTGCGTGCGTCGACTCTACCTGTGCTCAGCCCTGCTCTCTCACCGGTTCTGCCTCGGCCCTCCTCACAGGAAAAAGTCTGAAGACGCTTATGTCCAAGGGGATTCTGCAGGTGCACCCTCCGATCTGCGACTGTCCAGGCTGTCGAATATCCTCCCCAGTGGTGAGATGTGGGAGAAAAGTTGGGGCTTTGGGATCTTGTTTCTCCCCTGCAGAGCTTGTGCCTGTTTTCTAGGATCCAGAGTCCGTGCCAGAGTGCAGGAGGGAGCCCCTGAAGAGCAAACAGGGGAGACTTTGCTTTGGGTGGGAATCCTGGGGGAGCCCTCTCCCCTTTGGATGCAGGGCCTGATCACGCCTATCTTGGAGCCACTCCTTGGGGAGCCTTGGAGCTGCTTCTCCTGAGGTCCTGGGGACAGGGTGTGAAGGTGTCCTCCCTAGACATGTCATCCAGCTGTAGCCTGGGGATCCTGCCCTGTCACATGTTTGGGCGGGGGGGGGAGGGTCCCACTGTGTCAGCTGGCCCAGGTTGGGAGAGAGGCTGGTCCCAGGGTAAAACTTGTTCTGGGATGTAACAGTGTTGGCTGGCTTGGATGTGCATTCTGGGGTGGTCACAGCTTAGCTGTGACTAACATGTGTCTCTGGGATGCCAAGAGCTAGACCCCTGCTGGGCAAGGCTCTGGATGACCAGGAGAGTCTGAAGATACAACCCAATTAGGGGCAGAATCTGAGCAGTGTGGGCCTTTAGTGTCAAGAACTGGGGTTGGAGGCTGATGTGGGGTCCCCAACCCAGCGCAGACATATACGACCCCCTCATTGGCCTAGCGGAGCAGCAGAGATCGGGGTGCTGTGCCTGCCCCTGAAGCACTGTCTTCCATGTCACATGTCCTCCAGGCAGTGGTAGTTGGAGGGTTGATCTGAAGAGGAAATTGTCTCTTGAGAGGAACCAGTTTTGAGCTTCTGGGGGAGAACCACTTAGGGCCCTGGCTCTTGGTGGCAGTTAGGGTTATGCCGCTGTTCCTGGCACCATCGGCAGCACCCTCTCACAGGAGGTGGTGAGAGAGGACCCGAGACACCCACCTTCAGCTTCTTTGCTTTGGACTAGAGGTAGGAAGGAGAAAGGGACGTCTTGGTTTCCTTGTGGACCCCGGAGGTAGCTAAGCTGGGCGAGCTGGGAAGCCACAGACACCCCTGTGAAGACAGACACCAGATCAGACGCACAGATTGGACAGGGGAAGGGGGATACAGCCACGCCTCCCCTGTGTACCTATCCCAATCACGTGCCTGACACGGGCTTATCGCCAGAGTCTGTTGCACAGGCAGCCGGCCTCCTGCCCACCACCACGGTTCCTGCCTGGGGCAAGAGACTGAGTTCCTTCCCCACATATGCACCTTTCCAAGGAGCTGGTACTGGAGAAGAGTCCTCTGGGCACCTTCCAGGCTGGCCTGGAGTTTCTCCTTGGGTGGGAGGGGACCCGCCTCTCCCAACCCACTCTTCCAGAGATCTCTCCCAAGAGTGTGGGGTACAGGTGGCCTGAGCCCAGTATCAGTTTCCCCAGGACACTGCTTGGATTGGGGGCAGAGTGGGTGGGTAGGTGAGACAGGGATGAGGCCCAGCCTAGAACTGCCTACTTGTCTGGGGCTCTCAGGTCACTGCCCTACAGGAGGGATGCCTCAGACCCGGGCCTGCCTCTCCTGAACCTGGTCCATCCCAAGCCTATCGCTGTACCTCACCCTTAGGAAGGAGCTCCACAGACTTCCTTGTCTTTCTAGCATCCACCTTAGCCACATAGAGACTGCCTTGCTCTACACCCCCCCCCACAGCCAGGCCCAAAGGTACGTACGCACTTCAGAGTCACAGATACTCCAGGGGCAGCATGTGGGTGTGCGTGTGGCTAGGGATCGTGCAGCCATGCAAGCTGGCTTTCGTGTACCCACGCTTGCACTCTGAGGGGCCAGTGCTTGGCGAGGGGCAGAGGCTGGGCACCCAGCTTTCAAATCTGTGCTGCCGAGCACGGGTTGAGGTCTTGGGTGTGCCTGGGAGGCACGTATGTTCTCTGTCCTTGGCTGGGGCCCTGGTCCCTCTTCCTCAGTTCCCCTTCACAGGAGCCACTCCAGGCCAGCACAGCTGGTCAGGCTCCGTCCCAGGTGGCAGTCTCACTGCTGTCATTTCCCTCTCCTCTCCCTTGTCTTACAGATGAGAAGCAGAGGGAAATGCATTTCCTTGTCTTCTCGAGAGAATAGTTTAACTAAAGCAGAAAGGAGAGGAGGTCCAGGTGCTTGGGCTACAACAGGCTAGAGAAGGGCAGGGCTGAGGGGACTTCCCAGCAGTGCACACTTCAGACAGGCCAGGGGCTGTTGCAGACCCTTCCCCCTGGAGCCCACTAGCTGGCACAGAGAGGCACGGGGACCAGACAGGCGGTCACACCTACAGCCTCACCCACTCTCTGCTATTTCCAGTAGAGCACAGGGCCAAGGCCAGGGTCTCAGAAGGGGCCACAAAGCAGGCCCTTTCATCTTTCAGGCCTACCCTCAGACTCCACTGCCCCACCCACCCCAATGCTGTCCCGTGTATCTCATTGAGTGTGTTGCAGAGAGGAACATGAGGGTGTCCCAAACGGATTCATAAGGGCTGGCTTATGGAGACTGGCTCCTGGAGTCTGGGGATGGGGCTACTTGTGGTCCCCAGACCCAGTTGAGGAGGGGGAGAAGCCCAGGGCTCCCTGGCTCTCGGCACCACTGCCCAAATCTGGAGCTTGAGTGGGCTGGGTCTGAAGAGACGGACCCTTACTCTGGAGGACAGGACTACTGTGGTGGCTGCACAGCTGTCCATCAGGTCCAGGATGACACTGGTGAGACAAGACCCTCCTTCACACCTTCCTCCTCGGGCCCCCGGGTATGGTGGCATTGTCCTGGCAACGGGGAAGAGGGTGTCTGAGGAGGCCTCAGTAACTGAAAGGATGAGAGAGAATTAGATAATCCCAAGATCCCTGCCACCTCCCGGAAACAGCAACCTGTTATTAAATAAGAAAAAGCTTCCTGCCCACCAGAAAATAATCGATAACTTTTTTCTTCCACTGGGGCGGCAGGACCTAAAGACACTGGAGGGAGCGGTGGTATATAGGGACCTTGCCTGTCCCACTGGTGTGTGAGCATGCTCTGAGCGTGGACAAGCTCAGTGCGGACTGGCCTCCACGTCTGTGCAAATGCCTCCTGCTCTGATCTCCCAGCATACGGCACACACATGCATCCACATACTCACAACATGGGTGCAGGGTGGGGAGAAGTAGGTATTGGAGAGATACTGAATCTCTGTTTCTGACCCAGAGGCTGGGCCCCGAGAGGGGCAGGGGAGAGGCTGGGCCCCCAGAGGCTGGGTCAAAGGGTCTGGGCTGGTAAGGCCTCCCCACCAGGTGACCTGCGAACCCCAGGACTGCAGTTTGCAAGGGATCGGCAGGCTCAGGCCCCAGACTCAGGCTTCACACTGCCCTTGAACTGGACCTGGCATGGCACTAGCAGAACAGAAAAAGGACCTGGCATCGGTTGGGGGTTCACACAGGAGCCGTGTGGGATTGTCCGGCAAACACATGCAGACAGTGGTAACGGCACATTGAACAAGTGGCAGAACACAGACCTCTGTTGTGGGGGCTCTCACGGCCTCTTGGGGCTCCCTGGCGCCAGGAAAGCCGGGGCTGGCCTCCAGGTGGACATCCCCGCACTCAGGCTGATCGCCTGTGGAGGGAGCGAGGCTGGACTATGGAGTCTGGACAAGGCATGTGTCATGAGCAGCCTGGCCAGGGCCTACAGCCCTTCGCCTCACCCCCCTGCAGGGTGGCATGGAGCAAGGAAGGTGGTCTGTGGAGGGGTCGCTGACCCAGGCCTCAGCTCTCTGCTCCTGTCTTCGCCTGTAGCCACCGGGGCTCATGTGGACCCTGGGGCCTGCACTGCAGGCTAGAAGCACCTTAGCAGGGCCTTTGATGGTCCCTATTTGATCTTAGTGGTTGCTGTGAGGGCTTCTGTCACCCGGGCCCTGCCCGAAGGTTGGGCCTGGGGTGCAAGCTGCCCAGGAGGCTGAGGGTCCTGATTTAGCCTAACCTTCCTCTGCTCCCTCCCTTCCCAGAACCGGGGGCGGCTGGCAGACAAGAGGACGGTTGCCCTCCCCACTGCGCGGGTCCTAAAGAAGGAGCTGACCACCAGCTTCTCGGCCAGTGATGGTGACAGCGATGGGAACGGCCCCGCCTATGGGCAGCGGCCAGGCTTGAAGCAGGAGGACACCCCACATGTCCGTATCATGAAGAGAAGGTACTTTTACCGATGACCAGGTGGGGAGGGCACATGGGCTCTGGCTGTGGTGGTGAGGGAGGGACATCAAGACTGGGGCCTCCGGGCAGCTGAGAGCCAGGCCAGGGTGAGGGCCCTTGGACCTCAGGACAGGGCCCAAGTTTGGATTTTCTTGTCTTGGTATCTGCCAAAGCTGAAATAGCCTGAACCCCTCCATGCCACGGGACCGTAGTGAGAACCCACCCGGAGGGAGGGGCCAACATGGTTCTGGGCGGGGGGGGGGGAAGGAGGCTGGGCCAGCGGCTCTAGGAGGAGGGCAGTCAGGGAGACCCAGGAAGGGATGGCCTGGCGCCACCACAGCCAGGCAGAGAGGAGGAGGCTGAGCAGCCCCTAAAACGCTCGTGCTCATTCTCCTTGGCAAGCAGCGGCTCCCCTGGCTTCTCACCGTCCCTTCCAGCCTTGAGGGTCACTATTCCTGACTTCCCACCCCTCCCCACCTCCCTCTGTCCACTCACCTCTTCATCCCTCCATCTGTCTGTCTGTCCATCCAGCACATGTCACACATCCCCAGAGTCTCGAGGCCTTTTCTCTTCTCGCCTAGTCTTTTGACATGTTCCAATTTCTCCTACCCCCAAATAACCCTCCCAAACCCCCAACACCCCCACTTCCCAGCCCCCATACCCCCGTTGGCTAAGTTGACACGCCCACACAGGCTTCCGGCCACCCTCCTTCAGCCCGAGGGTCTTTCTGGGAGCACTGCTGTGGGTGAGGACACAGGCACAGGGCAGAGCCGTTTCCTTACTTGACTGTCGTACTGTTGCTCGGGCATCCCTCCTACCTACGGGGCGCGGTGCTCCCTTTCAAGAGGCAGACTGGTAGCACCTGGGACCCAGGGAGCTGCACCCACCTGGGCTGACACTGAACCGTTGGTGCTAGCGGCAGTCTGGGGGCTTGCTCCGTGCCCTGGTTCCAGCCTGGCCGAAGCAGCTCTAACAACAAGCAGTTTGGGTTCAGTCATATGGCTGCTGGGCAGAAGAAGCCTTAGGCTGCCCTGCCCCCTCTGCACAACGTGGCGGCTCTTCTGGGTTCACTGCACCAAGAGGCAGAGGTATGGCAGCCTCGATTCCATCCTTCCCAGTTTCTTTGTTCCATGAGACCAGGAACTGGCTCCCACCCCATGCTTCTATCCTGATGTCAGCCACCGGCTGGTTGAGCTGGTACCAGACAGCACAGGAGACAAAGCTGAGCCAGCCCAGTTCCCTTGGGGCCAGCGCTCTGGGGCAGATGAGGGCTATGCCATACCCATGCCCTGCTGTTCACGTGCTAGGTCCCAGAGGCCACTTTGACCCTCTGCTTCTCTCCTTGCAGAGTCCACACCCACTGGGACGTGAACATCTCCTTCCGAGAGACGTCCTGCAGGTAGGGTTCGGGTCTGGGCCAGGCTTTTCCCCATACCCTGTGCGTGGGCAGGATGGAGACCTGTTGCCCCATGTCCCCTGGGTCTGCTGCTAAATCTCTCTAGCTCCCTCCCTTCCTCCCCTCCTTACTCTGTGGTCTGTCTGTCGACTTGTGCCCGGGCCTTGCCAGCAGCACAGGCATGGGTTCTGGGCAGCCCAATCCTGGAGCCAGAGTGCACTCCCCTTCCCACGTGGGACTGGCCATTTGAGTCGATCTGCCCAAAGATGAGGCCGTGACCTCTCCCTCTCACCCTCCCAAAGACCCACCAGGAGGTGAGAATGGTGGTGTGTACATGGGATCTTACAGGATGCATAGGTGTTTACTAGGGAAAGAGAAAGTCTGCAGAGGTATGGAAGAACAAGGCAAGGGGATGTGTGGGATGGGGGTGGGGGTTTGGGGGGAACTGGCAGGTCTGACTCAATTGAATGCTAAAGAACTTTGGATGCTGAGGCTGTAGGACAGGGTCCTCCAGGCAGTGAGGAGCCACCGGAAGTTCTTGAGCAGAGGACTGACAGAGTGTTTTGATGGGGTCCTTCTTGGAGGCCCTGCCCAGGAGGTTGGAGGTTTGCTCCAGTACACGGCACTTCAGGCTGTAGAAGCATGGGGGAGGGCAGGGGGGCTGCAAACCCAAGACTTAGTAAGGAGAGAAAATGAGGGGACCTGATGAGGAGGTTGGGGGACATTGAGAAGGCCCAAGTTCCAGGTTCCAGAGGGGCAGAGGACGGTCAGTCTGTGGATGCAGCCCAGGCTGTGGTTTCTGGTCAGCGGGGTCAAGTCTTACCCTGGGGCTTCCAGGGAGGACACAGGAAGGGGCCAGCCCAGCAGGTTAGGGGCTTGCGCTCCCCACCCCCAGCCTGGCCCTGTGCCATATGTGTTCTTAGTTACGTCTCTGAAAATGTTTGGGTCCTGGAGCCGGATTACAACGAAAACACCTTCAAACTTATTTCCACCTCATTCTGAAGTTGCCCACTCAACTGTTCATTTTTATGAACCATCATGAACATTGATGACATTTTATGAGCCTTTTACTTGGGAAGCCACAGGATACATTTGTCAGCGAAGCTTATAGGGAACCCAAGGGAGGCTCCTGCACTCCTAGAATGACTCCTCCTGCCTGCAGCCCCCTCCTCATCCACCCCAGCCTTGTAAAGTGAGAGAAGGTCCCAGGTGTCCAGACGCAGGGGGCCCCTGGTAAGGGGCCAAGTCCAAGTGCATGTGGGGTCCTTCACTCTTACACAAGCTCCCAGAGGTGTCTGGGATGACTTTCTGGATTTTACCAGAGGGGAGATTGCAGTTTGGGGGCAGGGGCAGAGCATGGTCAAGAGGACTTACAGCCCATCCGCCCTCTACCTGCTGGTACGGCCCCTCGGCCTCTGGCCAGGCACACAGCCCAGCTGCCTCACACTGCCCCCTCCCCGGCTGTCTTTGTCTCTTCCTGGCTCCTTTTGGCCCCGTCTGTCTGTCCTTGTCTCCTGTCTGTCCTCTAGGCTCTGTCCGTCCGTCTCTCTATTCTCATCCTTTCGATCTCTGCATCCGTCCACTCGATAGTGCCTGTCTGCTCGAACGTCCTCATCTCTCACTCTCCGTTTGTCTGTCTCTCTCCATCCATTGGCCTGCCTGCTTGAAACTCCCACCTCAGGGGCCATGCACCCCAGGCAGCAGGCAGAAGATATGGTCCCTGCTCTCCTGAGGCCCCTGAGTTGGCTAGGATATGGGCAAGGACTGGACAGTATGACAGTCGCTGAGGGAGCCTGAAGGAGCCCAGGGTGCCCCTCAGAGAGAGTTGGGGTCCAAGGGGCAAGACCCTTCTCCCTCATCCTCGCAGCATACCCTCCTCCATGTAGCCCCTTCTGTCACTCAAGCTCTCCCCCTCACCTTCTGACACACAGCCCCACTCCATGGTGCCACAGAGAGCCTCCCAAGTCCCTCATGGGCTTTGTCCCTTGTGCACAGCAGGACACAGCAGAGGGTGTTTCCATGGCCACAGGAACCTCGTACTCGGGATGCCAAACGCAAGGCTTACGCATTTTCAGCCTGCTGTTTCTTTGTAGTTCTTTATATAAAACCTGGCATATTTTGTTCAGTGAGTGGCCAGATGACCAGAACATGTTTTCCAGGCTGTCTTGGGCCCTGTGGGATAAACCCCCAAGGCAGAGAGCAGGGGTGGGGTGGGCGGCAGTGTTCTGGTTCCTGCTAGGCCTCACTTCCACCGTGCCACAGCACCTGTGCCCGAATAACTGACCTGTCAGTAAAAGAACTGATGGCCATAGTGGGGGGGGGGGGCCCCGGGGGACAGTCCAAGGTCCCTGTGTGGGCGCTGGACTAAGGGTTCATGGGGAACAAACTGATGGGCTCCTTCCTCACCTATCCGGTCTGCGGGTAGTTGGTTCACTTCCTATAGGAGCCCTGGGGACACCAGAATTGGATCCCCTCAGGGGAGAACTCGGAGGCGTCTCTAGACACCCCCTCACCCCCTCCCTAGTGCTGAGGACAGCACTTCTCTCCTCAACACCTTCGCATTGATGAGGATGATAGAGGGATGAGAATTGCTGCCAATTAATCCCGTAAAGTACTTACTCCCACCCCACCTGCACTCCTGTTTGCGTAGGGGGGGCCCTTCTCTCCTCCTGGGAGAGGCGGTGGGGGTGGGGAGAGAACCCACATCTGGGTCTCCCAGAAGGCTCTAGAGCCCAGCCCTGGAGTCTTTGGGGGCTGAAACTGATCTGCTTAGGGGCCAGCCTGGATTAGCCTACTCCAGCCGCCCAGGCCAGGGGGGCTGGGGGCTACTTAATGAGGTTTAGGGTCGGTTCCCAGGTCACTCCGTGGAGGCCCTCTAGCAGGGGCCCAGCTGGGAGGCTGCTCTGGTACAGGTGGGCCAGGGAACAATGGTCCTGGGGAGGGTGGGGCGCCAAGGGCCCTCCCTGCTCCTCTCCTGTTCTGTCTTGACTTCCTGTTGCTCTAGGCTGTATCTGTGAGATGGCGGGTGACCCTTCCCTGTGCCAAGAACATCAACAGCAAATGGGGCCATTTACACACACAGTCGCACTGAGATCTTCTCACTCCTTCTTTTCTCTGGGACTCTGTGGTGTAGGATTGAGCTGAATTAGCAGGAAGAGAAATGAGGAAACAAAAGAGTTAAATGCATGCTTATTCCAGGCCCGCACATGCCTGGTGGCTGAGGCTCTTAGCTGGGAGCCTTGGGGAGAGCAGAGTGTCCTGAACACACGGGAGGACCAGGCTCCCAATTCATGTTGTATGTCTGTGTGTCTGTGTGTCTGTGTGTGTCTGTAGGTGCATGCTCTTTAGGCCCTTTGGGTGAGTGTACATGTGTCCCTGTGTGTGCACACACCTCATTGGCTGCAGGACTTTGGTCTGAATCTTGGTTTCCTTATTTGAAGAAATTGAGGGTCTGTGGGTGGTTACAAGTTTTAGTTGAAAGAGCGCGTGCAACTTCCTTAGTGAAGCACAGTAGTTAAGTGCTAGATAAGTGATATGTGCATGTATGACAGTGTATGTCCTCTCTGGGCACCTTCTCATGAGCAGACCCCCCACCCCACCCCCCCACCCCCCGCCTAGTGATTGCTCTGGTCACTCTGGGGAGAGCATGGCAAAACTGAGCTGGGCTCCTGAGCTCTGTACACGCCCTCCCTGGGGACCATGGTGGGGCCTGAGTGTAAGGTCCCGTGCCAGGTAGACACTTGGCAGGTCCTAGTGGTCTTGGGTGGGGCTGGATAGGTCACACCCACTAGATGTTTCCCCTGGGACCGGCCGTGGGGATGCCCACATGTGTGCTGTCACAGGCCACAGAGAGGTGTGTAGGAGGCCTTGCACTTTTGTGTTGTCCTCGGGCTCTATGCGTGCCCACACTCGAGCTCGGTCAGGCATTTGCTGTACCCAGCACTGGGCACACGGCCTCTTGGGGTCTCACCCTCACTGTCTTGCTTCACGACAGCCAGGACAGTGACCTGCCCACCCTCATATCCAGCGTCCATCGTAGCCGCCACCTCGTTATGCCCGAGCATCAGAGCCGCTGTGAATTCCAGAGAGGTGGTGTGGAGATCGGCCTGGGAGCTGCAGGTGAGGAGCTGGGGGGTGGGGGGGGGGGGGAGGGGGGGAGAGAACAGGGCTGCCAGGGCCACTGCAGCTCAGCCTGGGGACAGCCTGCCCTGCCACCCTCCCAGTATCTCTGCTCAGCAGCTCTGGATGCCGCCACCCCCAGCAGCCTTGGCTGGCAGCCAGGGAGGCCAGCGGAGGCGGGAGGTGGCAAGGCCGGCTGTCCCCTGGGGCTCCATGTGATGGTAATTGTGTTAATCCCGGCCAGCTGGGCAGACAGGAGGCACAGGCAGTGGCTCCACCGTGGCTGCTTCTGGGGTGGGCTTGGAGTGGCCAAGGCCACTGCCATCCCCTTCCCATAGGAGCAGAAGCAGGAGGACAGTCACGGATGTGCAGGCCTCATAGAGGCTCAGAAATGCACATCGTGAATGGCTCACTTGAGGGCAGGGACATGCTCTACATGCATGAAAGTGCCCACCGACCCCATGGAGCACAGGCGCCTGGAGGAAGGGGGTCCGTCACCTAAGAGAGGGGGCATCTCTGCAGGGGTGAGGCAGGAGAGTGCTAGCTCAGAAGCTCCTGGGGTCATCTCAGAGGGACGGCTCCTGGGGGCAGCAGGAGCTCAGAAGGAGGGAGCAGCTGGGGGACACCGCGCCCCCCCCCCCAACAGAGGAGTAGGCCAGAGGGGACTTGGCCACAAGGCTTTGCTGCAGAGAATGGGGCATGGCTGAGCTTCGGCTAAAGGGGAGGTAAGAGGAGCTGGCAGGGGCCCCTCGCAGTCCTACGGACCCTGGGCAGGGAAGTTTCCGGCAGTGGCTACCGCTCTCAGAAAGGCTGGGGAGAAGACGGTCATCCCCCATTAGTGCCCCCAGGCGTGCCTGTGCCTGGGAAGGCCTTTGTGGGGTGGGTGTGAGGGGGCTGCTTCTGGAGCCTTGTTGGAGGCGGCTGAGCAGGCAGCTGATAAAATCTAATTGCCCCATCGATCGGGCGGAGCTGCGGGAGCCACACAGTGATTGAGATATTCTAAGCCAGCAGGCCCTCCCCATGCTGCCCGTACACATGGAGACCTCCCCACGGTACACAGCACGAGTGTGCATGCGTGCCCTGCTCCCAGCTGGGGCTGCATGCCTGGGGCCTTCGCGTGGCCCCGCACCCAGCTCACACCCCGTGTCTGGGTGTCACCATGCCACACACCTGTGTCCTCACTCTCACTTTATGCTGAGACGGGCGTACAAGCGTGTCAGGGGTCACAGGTGCTCTGCATGGAGTGTCACATGTGTGTGCTGTGCCCAGGTTTTGTCAGAGTTTGCCCTCTCCTCGGGGCTGCAGTCCCCCATTGGCTTCCACTTGTGCCTGTGGGCCCTTGGGTGGAGACATTTGCCTGCGGTCACCTCCTCTTGCTTCTCCGGGAGCCGCTTGTCAATCTTATTCCCACAACCCCAGCCCTGGTCCTTCGCTGGATCCTAGACAGGAAGGGCCGCGGAGGTCTGTGAGGGGCTCAGCTGGGGTCCATGCTGGCATCTTACGACTGTGTGTGTGGGTCTATGAGTGAGTGTGGCCCTCATCAGGGACTGGTGGGCCCCCAGATCTCCAGGGCGGGATCTTACTGTAGTCACAGGGCTGAGTCTCACTGTGGGCCCTTCTGCCTCCAGCAGCACCTCCCCCAGACAGAGGGGAGCCTTCATCCCCCAAGAGAAAGGGGAAGGGGAGGTTCCACTGTGGAAAATGGGAAACAGAACTCAGGGAAGTGAGGGTGCTGGGTTCTTTGCTAAACCCAGAAGGGGTGTATGCAGGATGGGGTGTGGACCCAGCCCAAAGCCACTTCCAGGCCCAGCACAGCTGGATGTTGTGGCCCTCCTGCCCTGAGGCCCCAAGGCTGTTGGGGGCTGGCCCTCAGGCTGGTTGTGCCCCCTACCTGTCCTGCCAGGTCACTGAGGTGGGGACCCTTCAACCAAGCAGTGAGGACCTCGTCTCCCAGGGCAGGGGTTGGGCTGCCGAGCCCAGGCCAGCGGCAGCGAGGTGGCTGAGATCAATAAGTTATTAGCACCATTCTGTCAGCTGTAAAGTGGAGATTGATCGGCCTCTCACTGCTGCCGCACTTCCCCGGCCTGATAAAAATGACAGATTAAGGGAATAAGAGAAAGGAATTAGGCTCTGGGAATTAGGCTTCTGGGAAGCCTGCCTTGCTGAGGTGTCATGGCAGGCCTGGTTCACAGAGGGGGTAGCCCCCTCACCCCACCCACCCAGGCGGCCTCTCAGGTCAGAGAGGGGGCCAGAGCACAGGATCTGGCCTGGAGGCCAGCACTGGGGTGGTCCCAGGAGAGCAGGGCATCTGCTGAGCTGTTCAGCAGAGACCCCCACCCCAGGCCCTGAGCTCAGGAAGGAGGGATTAGGGCCTGGGATGGAAAGGGGCTGCCTTGGGGAGACAGATGAGTATGTTTTAGATGTAGGACCTGAGAGAGGCCTTCGGGAGAGAAGTGGGGCTGCCCCTCCCCCCACTACTATGGCCAGGCTGTGTAGAGCAGGTGAGACTGCTCAGGGGTGCCCTCAGGAGCTCAGAGCCCGGCTAGGCAGGTAGGCAGGTGTGTGGCCGGAAAGGCCAGGGTGCTGGCTCAGGCCTTCTGAGGGCAGTGAGGGGTGTGGCCTTGGTGGAGGTACCCAGGAGTTGGTGTGGCAGGTGTGCCTGACCTTGGAGGCTTCAAGGTGGCCTTGGGGGCCTGCTGCCTAGGGACTTCCCTGAGCAGGTAGAGGATAGGGGAGGTAAAGTGGCTTCCGGTCTAAACCAAAGCCTTCCATTCCCCTTTAGCAGAATGACCGGGGGGGCCATTACTTTGTACAGGAGACTAATCTGGCTGGGTAGGGGCAGCAGGGTGCCTGTGGGGTCCTGAGTTGCCACCTGAGCTGTTACCACAAACCTCCTGTCACATACACACATACCCCAAAGCCCAGGATCAGAACTGTCCCTTGACCTGTCCAAAGCCTGGCAAGATGTCCTTTGGCTGCCAAGATGTCCTTTGGGAGCCTGGGCTGGGAAAGGCCTTGACCTGGCCAGGATCCAAGGGCACCTGAGCAACGATGGATTTGGTTCCCCAGCATCTCTACCACCTGGGCCTCCCCATGGCACGATCCCCTACCCACGTGTGCTAGGCTCTGAGCTGAGGTTGGCAGGGACCGAGGCCTGGGCTGGGTCCCTCCCTGCCCCTGGCCTTCCCAGCCTCCATCCCCTCCAAGCCCTGAGACACAGGGCGGGGCTCACTCTACCCTCCCCCAGGTGACCTGTTGGGCAAGAGGCCAGGCCGCACCCCCCACGTCAGCGGTGAGTGCCCACTGGAGAAGAAGGCACGAAGCAAGCCACCCCAAGGTGGGAACTCAGCTTCAAGGTGGAGGGACAGGTCCCAGAGGAGGGAGGGCGTAACTCAGACCCTGCCACGGCAAAATCAGCCCCACAGCAGGGTCTAAGAGGGGAGGTTCTGCTTCTCTCCCATGGTGGCATCTGAAGGAGAATCCCTTTACCTTATGCTCCTCCCAACACAGAGACTCTGTTGCTGCCAGAACTAGGGCCCAGCATGGCCCCTGAGGATCACTACCGCCGGCTTGTGTCTGCCCTGAGTGAGGCCGGCACCTTTGAGGACCCGCAGCGTCTCTACCACCTGGGCCTCCCCAGCCACGGTATGTGCCCCCTCCCCATGGCACGATCCCCCACCAAGTGTCTACCCACATGTGCTAGGCTCTAACTATCCCTGGAGGCCTCTGCTCAGTGTGAAAAGAGGCCCTGGGGTCTTTGGCTGCTAAGACCAAATCTGGGTCTGGATGTGGGTCTGTAGGCCCCTCGGTCCCTACAGGCCCCTTATAGGTGGGCAATGAGGAGTCACTCTCCTCCCCTTCGGCCCAGGCAGCCACTTGCCTGGGCAGATGTGGGGGATCCCCCACCTGCATACCCCACTGTCTCCCAGACTGCCTAGCAGAGCCATGCCTCACTTGTGACACGCAAACGCTGTCATTTCACAGACACAGAAAACAGAGTCTGAGGCGAACCCCGGTGAGAATGGGAGGTGGGGACTGAACCAGGCCCACCTGCCTCTCTCCAGTACATGCAGCTTCTCTTTGTCCCCGGCTCTATATGCTGTAGTCCTTCCTACTCCAGCTGTCAGGGCCACGTGTGCGATTGTGCTAGCCACCTCACCTGGGGGGGGAGGTCAGCCTGGGTCTCTAGGTGGGAGGGGCCAAGAGGAGGGGAGTAGTCAGGCTAGGACATCCAGAAGGCAGGATGGGCGGCAGTTGGGATGTGGCTACCGGGACCTCACTGGTGCTCAGGAGAAGCTCCAGCTGGAGGCGGGGACCCTGCCCCACCCGGTTCCCCACCCTGTGCTCTGTCCATCTGTCCTTCCTGCCTCTCATGGACACACCTCACCCACCCACCATCTGGCACCCTGACCAGCTGCACCTTGGCCTGGCAGACCCCAGCCCACGGTGCTGCCGCTAGCTTGGCTTTTCTGGCTGGAGGTGGGTGAGGGGTGCTGGGAAAGGGGGCAGGATTTCTTCTCCTTACACAAGGCACTGTCCCCCAGGGCAGTCAGGCACCGAGAGCCTGAATAATTCACCAAATGTTAATAATTTAAAAATCTTCCTTTTTAATTGCTTTCCCTGCCCTGCCTGGGGCCCGCTCGGCTGGCCTGCGCGGGGGAGGGGGCGCCGGCCACCGGGGAGCAGCACCGGGAGCCGGGCTGTCAATCATGGCCCTGCGCCGCCGCCCCCGCCGCGGAGCCGACTGTAAATAACCGAGGCCGTCGGGCGGGCGCGGGGGCGAGGGGCCCCGCTGGGATCGATGCAGGCGGCCGCGCCGGCTGGGCTCTGCGGGCTGGCACCCGGCCCGGGCAGGGCCCACCTCCGCTTTTCGGGTAATTAATTTATAAACAGGCGGCGGCGGCGGCGGCCACGGCTGGGGCTGTGCAGGGCGGGGGGCGGGGGGGGGGTGGGGGGAGGGTGACGGTGGGAGTGGGGGAAGACTCAGAGGCCCGGCCGAGCAGGATGGAGGGACCCGGATGGGGAGCAGAGGGCTAGACTCCTCGAGTGTGCACGGAGTGTTACCGGGAAGGAAGTCACCTGGGCATCGGCTGTCCAGGGCTGGAGACCCATCCCCACGCCTCCAGGAGCAGGCCTGCCTGAGGATCCCTCACTCTTGGGTCTTTGCACAACACCATCCCTCAAGGCCCCCTGCAGCCTTGATCTCCATAACCTCTGAACTCCTGTCAATATCAACATTCAGAGGCCACAGAATCCCCTGAAAGGGAGGCCTTCCCCTCCGTCCCACTGCATCTTGGTTACTGGCATCCCCACATCGCTTTCAATGCTAACCTGCCCCTCTCTCAATACAGGTGGGTGCCTCCCAACCCCCACTCCCAGCGCCATACAAAGCTAGAGGCACTGTTAAGGGTTTGGTCTCCCCTGCCCTGTGGCCTTCTGTTCATCTTTCCGTCCCCATGACCAAACGGCAAGGTCGCTCTGAGGACACGCTCTCATCGGCACCTGGTCTCCTTGGTGTCCTTGGCCAGCGTCCTATGTTCACCAGCCCTGGGGGAGTCTGGCCTCTAGACCACCACTGACCATCCCCACGCCCCCAACCCCCCCCAGATCTCCTGAGGGTCCGGCAAGAGGTGGCAGCAGCATCTGTGAGGAGCCCCAGTGGCCTGGAAGTCCACTTACCCTCATCCACGGCAGGTCAGCGCCGAAAGCAGGGCCTGGCTCAGCACCGAGAGGGCGCCGTGCCAGCTGGCACCCCATCCTTCTCAGAGAGGTACTGGGTGCCCACATCAGAAAAGGCCCCATATTCTCTTTGCTGGCTTCTCAGATACACCCAGCACCTGGTTTCTGCAGGTCACGTCCACAGCCTGCATCTGCCCTCAGTCGTGCACACACTCTCCTCCCCCGCCACAGTCACACGCAGCCATGTTGGTACAGAAAGTGTGCCAGGCAGTGTGCTGGCCCTAGGTTCATGGTCTGACCCCCGAGTTGGTCAGAGGCCTAGAACACTCCTGGAATAGAATGGGGGGGTGGTGTGACCCCCTCCTCTGGGCAGGGTGCTAAGGGTGATGGCACTTTCTATTGAGCAACTGTGGGACTGGCTGAATCCAGGTGCTCCAGAAACAGCTGAGGGCTTTGCTCCCCCAACAGGTAGGTGTGGGGGCTAGAGGCAGATTGGGGGAGTCCGTGGAGAGGAGGGTGTGGAGGGGGCAGAAGGCAGAAGATGGGAGCAGTGCGAGGCCTGGAAACCTTGAAGTCAGCGGAGAGCTGGGGAAGGGAGCCCTCCCCCTCCCCCCGCCCGCTCTCCCTCCCTCCCTCCGTCCACCTGCAGAGGCCAAGGGGTGAGCGAGCTACGGGGCGGGAAGGGCTGTGGCGGCTCTCGGTGGTCTCCAGCCGGGCCCCAGGGTACAACCCCCAACAACGCCGAGCCCCCAGCCCCCCGCACCGCCCCCCCCCCAACGGAGCGCTATTTGCAGCTGCCTCCACCGCCTCCAGGATTGCAGCTAATTGCGCCCCCGCCCCCCTAGCCGCCCAAGGTCCGTGGGGAGCTGGGAGGCGGGGGCCCGGCGCGCCCCGCGCGGTAATTACCGCTGCAGTCGCCGCCGCCCGCCGGGTCAGCGCCTCCGCGCCGCCGCCGAGATTAATTGGCGCCGCCAGCCGGGGGCGGGGGCGGCGCGCGACCCGGAGCCGTAACGAGCGGTGCATCGACCGCCCGCGGGGCCGGCAATTAGTAGAGGCGGCGGCGGCAAGGGGGGTGGGGCGCAGGGCAGTTACGGGAATAGAGGGGGCGCGCGGGGCCGGGGCCTGCGGCGCGCACTCTTACCGCCCCGTCGTCCACAGGGAACTGTCGCAGCCGCCCCCCTTGCTGTCGCCCCAGAATGCCCCTCACATCGCCCTGGGCCCCCACCTTCGGCCTCCCTTTCTGGGTGTGCCCTCGGCCCTGTGCCAGACCCCAGGTGAGGAGTAGGCGGGTGCGCGACCCTGTCCTAAGGGGCTCGTGAGCGCGCACGCCGGGAGGCCGTTGGTGTGGGTGCAGCCGGGTTTGCCCATGACCGACCCGGTTTCCACGAGGGCTTCCGTAGTACCAACCCTCGCCCCTGCCGAAGCCAAGGACGGACCAGGTGGGCTTGGGCGGCCCTAGACCACTCGGCCACCTGGCCTCGTGGTCTGTCCCCTTCCCACCAGGTTACGGCTTCCTGCCCCCTGCCCAGGCGGAGATGCTCGCCCGGCAGCAGGAGCTCCTGCGGAAGCAGAACCTGGCCCGGTAGGTGCCGTGGCGACCGGTGAGGAGGAGGCGGCCCTGCCGAGCCACATGACCCACACTACCGTCTGCTTTTCCTGGTCCAGACTGGAGATGTCGGCAGAGCTGCTGCGTCAGAAGGAGCTGGAGAGCGCGCACCGGCCGCAGCTGCTGGCGCCCGAAGCCACCCTGCGCCCCGCCGACGGCGCCGCCGAGGAGTTGCAGCGGCGCGGGGCCATGCTGGTGCTGAGACACAGCTCCGCGCCGCTGCTGGCCCTGCCCCCCCAGGGACCCCCGGGCCCCGGCCCACCCACCCCTCCCCGGGAGCCTGTCCGCCGAGCCCCTCGGAAGGGGGGCCCCAGCCCTGCCTCAGCCCACTCCAGTGAGTCCAAGGAGACCACGGGGGCTGGGCTCTGGGCACAAGATGGCTCTGAGGATGAGCCCCCAAAGGATTCAGAAGGAGAGGACCCTGAGATGGTGGCCGCCGGGGGCCAGGGCCCCACCCTGGGCCAAGCCCCAACTGGAGGGGCCAGCCCTGAGGGGAAGGGGCTTCTCTCAGGGTCCATGCTGCCCCCTCCACTGCCCCTGGGCTTACCCTACGCCGTCAGCCCCTACTTCCACACAGGTGGGCATCCCCTCTCCATGCTTTAGATCCCTCCATGGGGTGGAAAGAATCCTAGCTCCCCTTCTGCGCCCCCCCCCCCCCCCCACCACCACGCCCTGGGTCTTAGGGAGGGTGTCCATGGGAAGAAAAATCCTTTTTAGTGTTCAGTCCAACATCTCTGAACATTTTGGGCAAAGGTCAGCAGACAGGGGTGGGAGCCTAGGAAAGAGCTGGCCATAGTCCTAGTAATACCACCCCCCCCCCCCAACCCAGGCACCATGGGGGGACTCTTCATGGATGGGGAGGAGGCCACAGCCCCTGAGGACCTCAGCAAGTGGACAGTGGACGATGTCTGCAGCTTTGTGGGGGGCCTTTCTGGCTGTGGAGAATATGCACCGGTGAGGGGGGTGGGGGGACACCTTCCTGAGATGGTTCCGAGCGCTTCTCCCCGCCCCTCCCCATCTCCCCTCCTCAACAGTGTGTGGGGAGGAGGGGGATGCTGTTGCATGCTTCCCCCTGCCCTGTGCCGCGTCAGTGCCTCTGCCTCCAACACTGGCACGTACACGCTCAACACACAGACCTTCCTTCCATTTGCAAGCTTTTCTGGCACACTGTGCCAGCAGCTTCCCTTGGCCCTGCTCTCGCTGGAAAGCCTTGGGGCAACCCCAGACACTCAGTATTTGGTGGGCTGGAGGGACTCAGCAGGGCAGGCGGGCACTGGTCCCAGCACTCAGGCCCAGACCTCTGCCCGCCCCCAGGTCTTCAGAGAACAGGGGATCGACGGGGAGACCTTGCCCCTGCTGACAGAGGAGCACCTCCTGACCACCATGGGGCTGAAGCTCGGGCCTGCTCTCAAGATCCGGGCCCAGGTGAGTGCCAGCTGGGGGCAGCAGTCTCCACACAATGGTGGGTCAGCACTGAGGCTCTTTGTGGCTGCAGGCCAGCAACCCAGAAGGCCCCCCCACCCAGGCCCATCTCTCCGCAGGTGGCCAAGCGCCTGGGCCGAGTCTTCTACATGGCCAGCTTCCCTGTGGCTTTGCCACTGCAGCCACCGACACTACGGGCCCCAGAGCGGGAGCTCACCTCTGGAGAGCAGGCCCTGTCCCCAGCATTGGCCCCTTCCCCCTATGGTGGGGGGCACCCCCCTGCTGGGAGAGCCTCGCCCAAGCAAGAGAATGGAACTGTGGCTCTACTCCCAGGGCCTGCAGACCCCTCCCAGCCTCTGTGCTAACCTGGTGGGTGGACCACCCTAATCCCTAAGCCCTTCGGTGCCAGCAGCTCTGATACAAAGGACCCACTCCACAGCTTCTCTTCCTTTTGGTTTTGGATGCAAAAACAAAGATTTTTTTAAAGGAAAACATGACTTCAAAGGAAAAGAGTTTCTGAAACTTTCTGGGAGTAGAGTCAGGTGCAGACAGCCTGGGGACCCAAACCTGAGCCCAGGCACAGGGACTCTGCATCCTGGGTACCTGCAGACAAACCAAAGAATGACAGAGGAGGCGGAGAAGGCACATCATGCCACACTGGCCTTGGCCATGCCTGCTGGCTCTCTCTGGAACCGGGACAGTTCTCTGCGAGATTCTCAGCATCCTGCCGTCGGGTGAGAGGTCAGGGCAGAGTCCCACTCCAGACCAGCTTCCCTCACGGGGCTGATGTATCTAACCCAGCAGTGCGGTATGCACTGTGGGCAGGCTCCACGGTGCTGGTTTCCATCCCCACAGCCGCCACTCCAGGGATCTGCACAGGGCTCGGTACTTTCTGGTCTTTCATGTTGTGAAAATAAAGCCCAGTCCACCATCTACTGCCCTCCCCCGCACCGCGCAGGCCCCGGCCTCGGGTCTCAGCACCGGCCAAGAAGACACAAGCCTGGCTGCCTGGTAAGGTGGGAACACTGCACGGCAGTCCCCGCAGGCCCCGCCCCAGGCCGGCAGCCCTCAATCCTCCTCAGAGAGCTGTAGCTCCTCCAACTCATCCTCTGGTCCCTGGGCCAGCCGCCACAGCTCCCCGAGGTGCAGCCCCACCTCTGTGTCTGGGTCTCCATCTGCAGGGAGAGACCGAGACTACATAAATTCTGCTTTATCAGGAAGAAGCCAGCCTTGGAGATTACTCATCACTAATTAATCACAGCCCTAATTAATTTATTGGTGCCACTGTTACTGGCTGCCAGAGCCAGCGGGAACGGAGCAGCTGGCGTGGCAACCTCAAGGAGGGGTGTGAGCCCAGCTTAGAGCCATTCTCCCACCCAATGGCCCCACCCACCCACCGACGAAGTGCCGCCCACGACAGCCTTGGGTTCCTGAACAGACAGGTTCAAAGGGCCACAGCACCACCCCTCACTCCCAGGAATCACTCACCCTTTGAATTGCTGATTTCCTCTTGGCTGCTAAGGCTGCCATCCTCCTCCTCCTTTTCCTCCTCTACCCTCTGCCAAGCACTCGGGGACCCAGGCATCCCTGGGGACCAAGAAGAGCCCATGGGAGTAAGCCCACCAGCAAATACATACTGGGGACAGCTAATGTAGGAGTGTGGGCCAGGCTCAGAACCCCGTACCCACCCACCCTTCCCTCAGGCCCCCTTCATACAGGTGGAAAGGATTCAGAAGTGTCCAGCCAATAGTACAGGTGAGGGAATAAGGTCTTGGGACACGTGTCCCAACTCTGGGAGGCCCTCACCTCAAAGCAAGTGAAGTGGTGGGAGAAGGCGCACCGCAAACGTGAGCAGCCAGGGGGAAGCAGGCACCCTCTTCTGGTTCCACGAGATGCGTCAGGAAGCCTTCCAGGGCCACCTACCCCTTCCCCACAGGGAGCTCAGGCTCAGGAGCCCAGGCCCCTACCTCTCTCTGAGAAATCCATGGCACTGTCTTCCTCGTCACTGTCCAGATCAAAGAGGTCCTTAAATTCCACTCTGTCTTCATTCTTATTGCCTCCCACTTTCCGCCGCTTTATCTCTGGGAAGTTCAGGTCTTCCAGCTGGAAAGACCCAAAACCAGAGTAGTGAGGGTGGTCTGGTGGCCATGAGAGAACCCACCTGGCCCAATCCCCAACCCACCATGTCTCGGCCCCGGGCCCCACCCTCCACCTCAAGGCTTAGCTCACAGCCACAGCTGGGTCACATCATGCGTCATGCAGCAAGAGCCCTGACCGCAGCTACTGTCCTTCCCTCCCATTCCCAAAGACAGACTTTACCCAAACCCAGCATCCTATTCCCTTTTCCATTTCCCTTCAGGCCTTGCCTCCCAACCCGTCCCCCACACAGACTCTGCTTGGCCAACTTGGTAGACATCGCCGGGTAAGACGCCTGGACAGCCACCCTGCCAGGCAGGTGAGGGGGCCCCAGCCACGCACACTGGCCACTAAGTACCATCAAAAGCATAGTTACACCCACTGGCTGAAGGCCCCGCTACAGGCCCCCCCCCCCCCCCCGCCCCCGCCACCTTTGTGTCTCCACGTCTTTAGCCATCACGTCATGGGATGGCAGACCCGTGATACCAGGACAGGGATACAGTCACAGGCATGCCACTCAGCACGAAACTGTCCCCTCAAGTCACACCATGCCACACCCACTGGCACAGCTCCTCCTGCCCCTCCCTGCCTGCCCTCCTGGTGTCCACAGGCTGGCCTGAGAAATAAGGTCAGTCTGGCCACTTATTCCCCCAAAATCCCCAGCCCAGTCACGCCTGACAAGGCGTAAGGACCTCCTCCTGGAGGTCATGAGAGAAGCCCCCTGGTCACCCAGTAATGCATGATGTCTGCCCCTCCAGAGCAGCCCCAGGACAGGCTGCAGCTGGGAACAGGCCCCAACCGTCCTGGTGACATCGTCCCTGAGACTATTTCCTCCCACAAGCCCCCTTCCCCACCCTGGTCTTAAAGTCAGAGCCAGGGTGCTAGACCCTGGTCTCAGAACAAACCAGGTGGTCATGCCCACATCCCCGCTCCGAACCTCCTCTGCAGACATACCCGCTCTTTGCCACTGATCTCCAGCTGGATCTCTCGCTCTCTCAGCTTCCGCCACTGGCTATAGTACTTGGTGAGAGGTGTCCCCTCTTCTCGGGTCTGCTTCTCCCAGGTGTCCTATGGGGAGAGTTTCAGGATCATGTCCACCCTGGGGAAACCTCCAAACCCCAGCCCTACACTGACTAGTGCCCTCAGGCAGTGCTGCCACCCCACCCACCCAGACACCAGCTCCCAACTGACCACTGCATGCTGGTCAGCCACACCGAAGGAGGCCCTCTGGCGGCGACTGCAAATATACTCAGCATTCTCCTGCACCTTCTCTAGCAGCTGGCGTAGCTGCCGACAGTAGTTGGCCACCTTGCATTCCCGGAGGAAGGATTTCAACTGCAAAAGGAAGGGGTGGGGCGGGGGGGGGCGCGGTGCTCAGCCTAGGTCCAGGCACAGACCATGATCTGCCGGGATCACACATGACCACAGCGAGGTGATGGGGGAGCAGGAAACATGTGTCTCACAGCCCTAGGGCACACAGTTGGGGAATGGGGCAGTTACGTTGGTGTGGGGTGGGGGCCGCAGCGTGGTGCCGCATGACCCCTGTTGTCTGGGCCCTGTGGGGGCTGGAGAGCAGACGGCCCACCCTACGGGCCGGGCAGAGGAACAGGCGGCATGGATCTACCCTCCAGGTCACATCCCACCCTCAGCCTGTCTGTGTAAATAAAGCTGTATTGATACACATCCACACTCCTTCACTTAGGCATTTCTGTGGATTTTTTTATACTTCAGAGAGGAGACCTGAGCAGCTGGGAGAAACCACATGACCGTAAAGCCTAAAATACCATTTAGCTCTCTCTGCCAGAACAGTTTGCTGACCCATGTTCTAGACCATGATTCTGGGACCTGGAGTCCAGAGATAAAGCCTTGCCTACACGGCCACATGTGTCTGGATGGGCTCTGAACCAGGTGCAGTTCGGGTGCGGGCAGCCCACCCCTACTCACCAAGCCGGCCTACAGCTGGGGGAGCTGACTCTGCCCACCAGAATCAGGGACAGGACCTGGCCCTTCCCGTGAAAGGCCCCTGCCTCCTTGAGATGGCATACACCTGGGCTGAGAGCAAGTGGACCTCTGACAGGCCCAGAAGGGACTTGTGAGAGAAAGGACTCCAACCCCACCCTTGTATCACCTGAAGGAAAACTGAGGCAGGGTTGGTGCTGAGGCTGACAGGGACTTCCTCCTGCCCCAAACCTGCATGCGGGACCATTTGGGAAAGTATACAGTCAGGAGACCAGCTTGACCCAGGGCTGGGGGGCCGGGTCCAGCCCGCTCCACCAGGACTACTCCTAGAAGAGAATTCTTGGTCGGTCTGGTCCCTGGGCTGTGACAGGCCTGGGGAGGAGCTAGCAAGTCCGAGGGTCCCCGTTAACTCGCCTGCGCCAACCCCACCCCTCAGGACTCCACACCCCTATGTTCGTGCTACCTATGATGAGGCAGCGCCAACATGAAACCCCGCAGCAGGTTAGGCTCTGCTACTGACCCCGTGTGGCTGTGACAAGGATGCCTCCTTCTGGCCCCTGTGTCAATGGGAAGCTGAGCCCAATGAAGACAGCCTAATCTGCTACGAAGCACGCCATCAAGGCATCTGGGAAAGGAAGAGGGAGCCGGACAGCTGGCACACACCTGCAGCACAGCGGGCAGCGCCAGTTCGGGGAAGGCAATGCTCTGGGCCTGGCTGTGCAGGTACTCCAGGGTGAGGTCGTACAGCTGCTCCACCAGACCATCCTGAGGCAGCGGAGAAGAAAGGAGAACTCAGCCCTCTTCACGCCTGCTTGCTATCAGGGTGGAAATCGGAGGATGTGCCTCCACAGCCTCCCCGGAAGCCACACTCTGGCTCAATATGGCTGAGGCCAAGGAGCACCACCTCCCCCGCAAGAGCCCCATGAAGGCCCACACAGACTGGAGGGCAGCAAGCCCCCTCCCGTCCACACTAATTGGACTCCAGTCACCCCGTACACTGACCTCGGTGCCCTAGAACATCCTGCCATGACCCCGCCCAAGGTATTTTCCCAAGCGTCTCCACAGGAGGCCTGGAGGCCAGCCTTACCCGGTACGCCTTCTCCTGCAGGTTGACCTTGGACAGCTTTAGGATCACAGTGAAGTTGATGGGCTTGGAGCTCATGCGCCCCGGCCTCTTATTGAAGTCGACCTGCTGGAAAACCTGTCCCCAAAGCCACTTCAGCTTGGCCTGCTGTGCCTCATGCCCCACTGTATCCCACCCCCCCCATCTGTACCCCAGATCCTTAGAGGCCCCAAAACCAGGGAGAGGTAGCCACATGCAGTGCCAGTCCTGTGGCCCCAGAGACCCCCTGCCTTCCAGAGCTCCGGGCTCCAAGGGCATCACTTCACTGCAGAGCGGGATTCTGGCCAATGGGGGCAGGACCAGAAGCACACCCGTGCACACTGCTACCGACCCTCTCCTAAAACGAGACCAAGAAGCCCTAAGAACCAGCGTCTGGAAACAAAAGAAAGGTCCTTTCTGTACAGGGTCACTGACACTGCAACATGCTCACCCATGACTGCATTCCCAAGGCCTGGTCCCAACCCCAGGGCTGCATCCTGGGAGTGATATGCCAATGGCCAGAGGGTCTCAGCAAGGGCCTGAGGAGCTCATAACCCCTCATCCTCCACAGAGACCACAGGCTGTGCCCATCGGCCTCTGCCTCTCAGGGAAGTCCTCCCCGTGTCCGAAGGCTGCGGGCTGTCCTGGGATAGTGGAGCGGGAGCCATGCCTGGCCCCTCCTCACCACCCTCGCGCAGGGGTGATCCAGGATGTTGTCCTGAGGGGGGGTGGGTGGCCGATGCTGAAGACACCACAGAGCAGAGGATGATGCTTCACAGCTGAGCTCAGCACAGCTCCAGATAAAAAGCACCCATGACTGTGCTAATAACAGGTTTCCCTAGGGGAGCACTGCCCTTTCTCTAGCCTGGCTCAGCCTGAGGTGGAGCAGGGGCAGGGGCTGCTCTCAGCACCCCTTCCCACCCACCCAGGGAGGCAAGGGCAAAAACGCCCTGGGGGCAAAGAGCTTTCCTTCTGCCTCTGTGACTTATTTTCTCTGGAAAGGACAGGCCTGCACCTGTGGATGTAAAAAGGACATGCCGGTCTATGGCATGCTGACACAGGGACCAATACAAGGGTTGTGCAAAAAGAAAACACGAAATCAGAAGAGAAACCCCAGGGGCTCCCTTCTCTCCCCTGCTTTGGTAAACCGGTGCAGACCACAGCTCTGGCCACACTGAGCCACTAATCCGGCCCATCCAGCAGGTGGCACTAAGGGCCTCTCTAGTAGGGAGATGTGAAGTCCTAAGTATAAGGTGGGGTGGGGCCTAACCCCCGGGGCATGCAAGCATGCACACAGATCCGCACAGACACGCACAGACACACGCATACACAAAGGAGCATGCAAAAAAAAACGCAGCTTTGGAATCAGATCTAGGGTTCCAGCCCAGCTCTCCTGCCCACTGGAATAGACTCAAGCGTGTCCTAAAACCAGCACCCTCAGGCCAGCCCTGCAGAGCAGCTGTCCTTGTCCTCCCTGCCACTCGCCTGCCAACACACACCCCAGCTGGGGCAGGTAGCAAGGCGCTGCACAGAGCAATGTCCTCATAAAACCTCCTCTACAGATGAGACCACCAGCACTCAGGAGGGTTACACTGCATCTCGGGATAGGCGGTCCGTGCGCAGCAAGGAGCGCCTCCAAGCAGAGCACAAAGGCACTGTGTTGCCCCCTCCCACCCCAAGCGACAGGCACCCTCTCACCTCCAGTATGAAGGGCAGCACTGGGATGAAGGTGCCGGTGCTCTCCGAGAGCAGGGTCAGAGCACGCACGCAGTGCATGCGCAGGGGGTAGAAGCGGGCAGTGGGAACCAGCCTGGGGGCATGGAAAGGCAGGAGTGAGCAGAGGCCCTAGCCTCACCATCCCAGCCTGGCTCCCCATGACCTGTTTCCACCCATGGGGCTCGAACCTCAGGAAGGGCCCCTCTTGGTCACTTCTGTCAGGGTCAGTGGCCACACCTGCCCTATCTGATTCCTCCAGACAGAACAGGGCAGACCAAAAGTCCCCGACTAAAATCCGGGTCTTAAGGACCTGCCTCCTCACTCAATTATCGGGTGAGAGAACATCCCACGCGGCTTTTAACTTAATCTCACTTTAATGCAGGAGGAGAGCAGCGGGAGATGGTTCATTCAAAGCTTGCTTTCTTCCCAGCTCCCTGCTTTCAAGGCTCCTCCTTCAGGAGCACAGGGGCGACCCCTCCTGGCTAACAAAGGCAGCCACCTGGGCACACGCGGCTCCTCCATTCTCTGCCCCCAGAAACCAAAGCTCAATGGTTACAACTGAAATGTGGCGCGTTGTACTAGACCCGCTACCCAAGAACCCCATGGTAAGACAGACACCCAAGCTCCCTTCAAACCGCACACAGTCCCTTCTACCCAGCATCTCCCAGAATGCATGAATCCGGGGCATTCTCCCATGCTGGCCTCTGGGCCACAGATGGCGCCACCCCGGGTCCTTCCACAGGTGATGCCAAGTAACAGACCCCAGGGCCCAGGGATGGCTCATACCCTTGGAGAACTAGCTCCTCCTGACCCTCCAGGATGCCTCCCTGTGTAACCCTCTCCTCTAAACCAGCCTCCCATGACCTTGTCCAAAGACAGTCTGTACAACCCTGACCCCGTAACAGCCCACATAACCCTGGCCCTGACCTCCTTTGGCCCTCAGGGAGGCCCCGCCCATCCGTGACTCACTTGATGCAGCCAATCACCACTTGCGAGAGGGGGTAGATCAAGGGCTGCAGGGCTTCGCTGGGGTACACAGTGCTGAGGGCACGACACCACAGGTAGAGACAGTGCACGAACTGCCAGTTGTACACTGACTGGTAGGTCTCCTGGGCACAGAGTGAAGTCCGTTTCCAAGTCAGCCCAGGGGTCCCAGAAGGATCCAGCCCTCCCTCACCCACGGTGTGCACGGGGTCCCAGCCAGCAGCAGCGGCGACCACCTACCCCACCCCCTCCCCTGACCCACCCTCAGAGCTGCCCGCACCCTCCACCTGTTCCCCAAGCCCCCACCGGCAAGGGCCCTGAGCCCTCCAAGGCATTGGGTTGTCTCTCCCCAGGGCTACACAGGAATACGGAGGCTTCCAGGAGGTCCCAGCCCCTCAGCCGTGGAGCCCTAAGTATACGGTGGGGTGGGGCCCGACCCCGGGCATGCCAACCCCCACCCCATAAGCCCAACCACGCACTTTCTTGCGTGTGGTCATGGCATTGCGCAGGTGGATGGCGAGCTGGCGAATGTAGAGGAAGGCATGCTGGTAGGCGATGCCAGTGTCCAGGGCAAGCAACTCGGTCAGGGTCCGCTGCATGAAGTTGATGAAGGGCAGGGTGCCGGGGGAGGTAAACTTGCAGTTCCTCACGTAGGTGATGTACATTTGCTGCCAGAAAGATCCCAGTCAGGGCCACCCGAGCTGCCAGGGCACCGTGCACCCGCTACCCAGCTCCAAGCCGCTGCCAGACACCTGGGCCTTTCCTCAGTGGGAGCCACGGCTGGCCACGTCTGCTGCAGACCCCTCCCCCTACGTGGCACTTGCTCCTTGGGCCCTCTGCTGCTCAGCTGCCACACACGTATACCCACACAAAGTCTGCCGCGCACGGAACAGGAGACTTATAGGGAGGGTGCGGTGCCAAGGAAAACGCAGTGCG